AATATATATAATGCTTTTTTGCGTTATAAAAAAATAATATTTTAAATTATCCAAAATCTTTTTTTTTTGTTGTATAATTTGCTTGCTTAACATATTACTAATGTATTATTTTAATATAAAAATTATATATATATATATTGTGGATATTGTTAATCTAAGCAATAACAAATCAATGTATTATTATTGTTATCATATTTTTTTATGTTTAAATTACTAATTATTTTTATTATGTTTTTTGCATAATTAGTGATAATTATTAGTTTTTTTTGTGGTGATGTGTAATAAATTTATAATAAACTTATTATATAGGCATAATAGACCATATAAAACAATAACCAAACAACAAAAACAAACATTATTTTATGCTATCATATTATATTTGCATTTTATTTTGCATTTATATCTATAATATGAAAAGTATGACTACAACTATGATATTATTATTATTATTTTATAAATAATTTATTTTCCAGAAAAACACAACATTTATATAAATAAAATATTATAAAATATATTATAATAATATTTTTTTGGGTGTATATAACATATTATATTATAATATAAAATACTATCCAAATAGATAGTGCATTCAAATATATATATATACTGACAGTCCGATTGACCACTACTTTATCTTACATTTATTATTATTATTATTATTATTAGACTACTATAAACTAAATGTAAATGTCATTATTATTAGTATATAGATATCTTGTCAAAAAAAACTAACTACTGTATGCTTGCTTATCAGTAAGCTTATTGCTTAGTAACCCAGCAAAAAAATTAAGTAGTCATCCACCCACTCACCCACTAATATATTAATACATAAATACAAACATAAAATTGCATATCTTTATAATAATAATAATAAACTTTGATAGCATGTACAGTATGTATGTGTGTCTATCTATATGTTTCTCAATCAAATGATTGGCAACAAAACTCATGGTCTACTCAACTAATTCACTGACAATTTTTTGTGTGTGTATGTGTGTGTGTGTGTGTGTATGGATAAGGCACGGGTAGTAGTGATTGTAGTAGTAATAGTAGTAGTAGTAGTAATGAAAATAAAGGAAAGCCAATTACACAATAGTAGTGAAATTCCCATAGAATTGCCATAAGATATAGCAATAATAATAATAATATAACAAAAAAGCGATTCTTATCAGTCGTTTCCCCAACAAATGCAATCCTAAATATATATATATGATATATCTTAATTGGAAACACACCATCTTTTGATTTACTATATATATAAATTATATACAGTATATTATATACAGAGAATATACAGTATATATATATATAAAGATATATAGACATACAATATGGACAGTTAGCTGTAATGCCAGTTCAGTCAAAATAGATTCAATCATTAAATCACTGGTTTGTATAGATTGTACATTAATTTTTGCTATCTCTCTCTCTCTCTCTCTCTCTCTCTCTCTCTCTCTCTATCTATCTATCTATCTATCTATCTATCTATCTATCTATCTATCTATCTATCTATCTATCTCTATCTCTTGATATAATGAGTTATAATAATACAGTATATTTGCACTAATAATAATAATAATATCGTTTTTTTATTAAATAGACAAAAATATTCCGCATAAAAACAAAACAATGTTTTTATGATAATTTTGCAAAGTTAATTTACAATAAATTATAGGTTATACTATATTTTTGTTAGCAATTTTTTATATATATATGTGCCCAGATTATTTTTTTTGTTATATAAATTATCTATATTTTGTAGTACAATGATTTATTAATATTATTTATATTATAATACATAGTAATAATACTGTACTTTTAATATATGTAAAAAAAATTCTAAAATATATTTTTTTCAATTTTGTTTAAAAAAAACTAAACGGTTGATTAGCATTTTGAATTTGACATGTAATTATATTTAAATTGCAAATATTTTACACACACAATATACTGTGCAATATATATATATATATATATATATATATTATACAATATATATAGTAATATAAGTTACTGTATTTGAACTAAACAAATATTGAACGAAAATTTTTAAAAATAATATTTAATATAATGCTAAATATATATATATATATACAGTATATTAGTATATACTGTACATACAATATATTCAATAATAATAATATTTTAACATTATTAATACAGTACTATAAATTTATTTATATACAGTATATATAAAATAAATATGCACATTATAATTGCTATTTCAATAATTAAACACAAAAATGCATTTAATTAAAGAATCTAAATTTTTTGTTGTTGTATTACTACAATAAAATGTCAATTTTGTTGTAATGATTTTTTTTCAAACAACATTAATAATTAAAACTAATGTATATTATGTATTAATATTTTCTATAGTTTATAATAGTATTTTAATATTACAGTAAAATAAAAATGTTATACCAGTATTTAACATGCATACATATAAACACACACATAAAAAATTGCTAAAAATGTGAGATAAAAATATAAAATAGATGATAAAAATCAATATAATGTAAATCACAAATGTGTTATCAAAAAAATAAAATAAAATTGTAAGCACTTTTCTTTTCAACATTAAAAATATAAGCATACAATTGTGCCTTAAGTTTGAATTAATATATATATATATATATAAATGAGGGGAAAATCTTAACAAATAATGAGTGCATTTATATATATATATTGATATAAAACAGGAGAGAAAAAAATAGGAAAATTGTAAATAATTTTTTTTGTGATGAGTAGTAGTAGTAGTAGTAGTAGTAGTAGTAGTAGTAGTAGTAGTGGTAACACACTATTCAAATGCTAAAACTTTATTAGTATTTTTCTCTTATCTTTATTAGACATCTCTATCTTTCAAAAGTTTTAATTCAAGTGTTCATTCATTGTATGAGTGAGTGTGTGTGTGTGTGTGTGTGTGTGTGTGTGTGTGTGTGTTAGTTAAGAGCCCAATATTGTACAGTAAGTCAGACAGACATACAAAAATAAATCAGTCATTTAAAGAGTTACAGCCAATGAATTATAGTCCAAAAGCCAATATGCTTTTACCCACAAATTGTATGGCATTTCCCAAGAGGTTTAGCTTTTAGGTGGATAAGCCGTACATACATTCAAGAGGGGGGGGGACACCAATAGAGACTAAACTTGTATAGACTGGTAGGAATTGGGTACATATATATTGTATATACTGTAGAATATATATATATATATATATATATAATACATCAAACATTGTACAATAAATGTCTTATAGTAATGTTTTATTGCAAATAATAATTTACAATTTGTTCAAATATAACAATATATTATATCATATATACTGTATATATATATAATATCTTCCAGATATAAACTTTGATCTATAATAATAATATTTATTTAACATAACATTTTATACTATTATATAAATGTTTATCTAGTTTTTATTTTATTTTGATTAATTAAAAAACTATGTTTGTCTTTTTTATTTAAATAAAAAGTTTTGCTATTTTTACAACTATTCAATTATTATTATTATTATTATTATTATTATTATTATTATTATTATTATTATTATTAGTAGTAGTAGTAGTAGTAGTAGTAGTATTACTTTTTTTATATATATAACATGTATGATAACAATATACGAAAAGTTTTTTGATTAATATTTTATTAATATACTGTAAGTTATTATTATATTTTTTGACAAATTATTTAAGTTTTTTTTATATATTTGTTGTTGAGTTAAATTATCAAAACTAAAATCAGTGAAATATATTGACTTTACTATTAGGTAAGGTATTTAATTTTGATGCCTTTAAGAAATACTGTCAAAACAAAATAATAATATATATTTTGCCTAAAATCAAGTAAAAAATACTGTATTACTAGTTTTTAGTTGTTTTTATCAAAAAAAAATTATACTTTATATTTAAAATTGTAATCCTTTTTTTCTTTAAAAAAAAGGTAATCATTAAAATGATAATATTATTTTGCAATTATAATTTTGCACATATTATACTGTTTCACATTATGTTATCTCAATTTACTAGTTATCAGTAAAGAAAAAACAACAAAAAACTAAAATTTATTATATAATACTTTTTTTTAGATAAGGCTATAATTACTACTTATTTTTTTATTTAAAAAAAATAAATAAAAATCATTGTTTATGTACAGAATTTTAACTATAAAATAAATTACATTTTGTTTGACAATATTTTTTTAAATTTTTTATTGAACCGTAATATTAATGTAAGTCCTAATTAAAGCGCTTTTATTTTCACTAAAAAATAATTGTATAGTTTGTTTAAAATAAAATAAATTATCATTTAATTAGAGTTTTATTTATTTATTTACTTATGTTTCTAAGCTATTCATGTTTTTAAATTAGTCAAAATACAAAATAATAATTATTATTATTATAGTCATATAATAATGTAAGTATTATATTTAATTAATAGATGTCTTATCATTTATATTTAAATATTAATATATAAGATTATTTGTTTTAATTAATTATAGTAATTATCATTATTGTCATCAAATTTAACATACAATTATTATAAGACAAATAACAAGTAATGTTATATATATAACTTATATATTAATTAAATTATATTAATATTTAATAATCTTATAATAATAATAATAAAATAATACTGTATTATGAATTTTCTAGTTAGTATAGAAAATATAAAACATTGTATATTATTATTATTATTATATGAATAAATGATTTATAATGCAATAGAGAATTTCAATCTAATTATTTAATATATAAAAAAAATTGTAAATAATTTTATTGTTGTTTTATATGTAAGTTATTGTATTTTTAAAAATTTGATATTACACAATAATAATATTGCAATAGTGGGTCAAATCAGCAAAATATTTGACTATTAAATAAGTTTTGTTTTTATTTAAATAATTAAAAACATAATTATTACATAAGCTAAATTATTGAAAACTTTCCCTATAATAAACAAATGCTTATATACACTAATATTTCAACATTAAATAATTTTATATTGAAGTCAAGGATATATTGTAAGGGTATTTTATTTGTTATACTCTGAAAAATTATTTCAAAAATTATTCTTATTTTTATTTGTTAAAAATTTATAACAGCATTAAAATGTTTTACAAAAAACCTAAAGGTAAACACCTTGTTTTTAAGGAAACTTTATCCAATATTTTGTGTTAAATAGAGTGTTAAAATAATGCACTAAAATGTTATAGAAAAAATTAAATAGTAAACTCCCAGTTTTAATAGTGATTAAATCCTGACTCAATGTGACACACTTTCTCCTCACGTACACTTTAGTATAAATAGAGGTGTCTCTCAGACACCAAAATCAGTTCTCCACTTGGAGTCATACTACGTGTATTACTTTAAAGTGAATTAATAAAAGTATTTGCATATTACTTTGTGTGTGTGTTTACTTTGTCATCGCGAATCAACTGTTTGGACATCTTAAGGGACGCCTTTGGACCTATCCACAACTACGCGGACAGCTAACAACTATTACGTAAGTAAATATTTTTATTATGAGAACTCCGGACCCCGTATCCGTTAACGGACGGCTCTTAGTGTACCTTATAGGCCCACGGTCCTTATAGGCCCACGGTCCTTATAGGCCCACGGTCCTTATAGGCCCACGGTCCTTATAGGCCCACGGTCCTTATAGGCCCACGGTCCTTATAGGCCCACGGTCCTTATAGGCCCACGGTCCTTATAGGCCCACGGTCCTTATAGGCCCACGGTCCTTATAGGCCCACGGTCCTTATAGGCCCACGGTCCTTATAGGCCCACGGTCCTTATAGGCCCACGGTCCTTATAGGCCCACGGTCCTTATAGGCCCACGGTCCTTATAGGCCCACGGTCCTTATAGGCCCACGGTCCTTATAGGCCCACGGTCCTTATAGGCCCACGGTCCTTATAGGCCCACGGTCCTTATAGGCCCACGGTCCTTATAGGCCCACGGTCCTTATAGGCCCACGGTCCTTATAGGCCCACGGTCCTTATAGGCCCACGGTCCTTATAGGCCCACGGTCCTTATAGGCCCACGGTCCTTATAGGCCCACGGTCCTTATAGGCCCACGGTCCTTATAGGCCCACGGTCCTTATAGGCCCACGGTCCTTATAGGCCCACGGTCCTTATAGGCCCACGGTCCTTATAGGCCCACGGTCCTTATAGGCCCACGGTCCTTATAGGCCCACGGTCCTTATAGGCCCACGGTCCTTATAGGCCCACGGTCCTTATAGGCCCACGGTCCTTATAGGCCCACGGTCCTTATAGGCCCACGGTCCTTATAGGCCCACGGTCCTTATAGGCCCACGGTCCTTATAAGCCCACGGTCCTTCCAGGCCCACGGTCCTTCCAGGCCCACGGTCCTTCCAGGCCCACGGTCCTTCCAGGCCTTGTAACCCTATACGGATCCGAAACCCTAGACGGATTTGAAACCCTACACGGATTTGAAACCCTACACGGATCTGAAACCCTACATGGATCTGAATTCCTACACGGATCTGAAACCCTAGACGGGTCTGAAACCCTAGACGGATCTGAAACCCTAGACGGATCTGAAACCCTAGACGGATCTGAAACCCTAGACGGGTCTGAAACCTTACTTGGGTAACAGAGCCTATTTGGGTGACAGAGCCTATTTGGGTGACAGAGCCTATTTGGGTAACAGAGCCTATTTGGGTGACAGAGCCTATTTGGGTGACAGACCCTATTTGGGTGACAGACCCTATTTGGGTGATAGACCCTATTTGGGTGACAGACCCTATTTGGGTGACAGACCCTATTTGGGTGACAGACCCTATTTGGGTGACAGACCCTATTTGGGTAACAGACCCTATTTGGGCTACAGACCTAATTGGTCAAAGTAGATTAAACAGGAAACCGCTCGTTCCTAAGCCACGCATTACTATAAGTTATCACTAAAAGAGTCAAAACCGTAAGGTAAGTGGTGTATTGCCGAGTGTTTGGTTTACATAAGTAAGGTTAGTCAAGCTTAGATACCCGTAATGTACCCACTTCCCCTACAATATTAATAATTTTTTAATATTGTATAGACACACAAAATAATAATGTTATTATTAAGTTCAATAACATTATGTCTTAATAATAATAATAATAATAATAATAATAATAATAATAAAAGATCAAACATAAAATTCATGGTTTGTTGTCACTTTATTTTACTTAACTAAATAATGTAGTGTTGAATTATACAGTATTTTTATGTATGTTTTGTGTATGTATATGCTTGTGTGTAAGTGTGTGTGTGTGTGTGTGTGTGTGTGTGTGTGTGTGTGTGTGTGTGTGTGTGTGTGTGTGTGTGTGTGTGTGTGTGTGTGTGTATGTATATGTGAGGAGTGTATGTGTATTCAGTTTATCTTTAAATCTATTACTATATTACAGTATATACAGTATATTCAGTTAGTGTTTGTTAAATACTAATGAAAGTTAGTCACGCGCTCAGAATATTTAACTCAACAATATTACAGAATATTCTGTAAAATTACTCTCATTTCACAATACTCTCTCTCTCTCTCTCTCTCTCTCTCTCTCTCTCTCTCTCTCTCTCTCTTTATTGCATAGTTTGTCCAATCATTTATACTCTCACTCACTCACTCTATACGTCTATACTTTTACGTTCATTTTCAATGTAATCGTATTAATGTAGTTAAGTTGGCTATAATAGCAATAATACATAATATAAGGAATTCTTGTTATTTCAATAAATTACAGTACAGTACCGTATTGTACAATATATGATTAATATCATACATATATATATATATATATACAGTATATACTGTATTTATATTTCTAGTACACTACATCATTGTGTGTGTGTGTGTACGTGTAAATTATTAATCACGTTGTTGTTGTTGTCCTTATAAGATAAAACACATGATATAAATTATATACAGTACTTAATCAATACTTGAGATATATATATATAAATAAATAAATATCTATAATATATAGATTAAACAATATTTCTAAAAGTCATCATTTGTTTACATTGTATTCATATGAAATATGTTGTCATATATCATATATAAATATATTGTATATAAAATATAATTTAATAGACAATATAACCATCACCAACACACCATTACACCTACCTGTGCATTATGCTCTGTGAGTGTAGATAATCTAAAGCCAATGATACTTCGCATACGTAAAGTAGTACACGTTTTTCGCTGAAACAGCCGTCCTGTTGGAGATGATAGCGTAGATCACCGCCAAGTAATAGGTCGACCACCATAAACATGTCCTCCTCATCCTTATATAAAAATAAATAAAATTATTATTATTATTATTTTGAAAAATTGCAAACATTATTAGGATTAGAAAATTTATTGTAAAAATAACAACAAAAAGATTATTAATTTTATTTTTTAATAAAAATAAGTATTAGTTTTATGACCATGGTGTCATATTATAAGATTATATGTATTTATATAATAATATTAATAATATCAATAAATAAATAAATATAAAAAAATATTATTTAAAAAATATTTTTAAAAGTAAATTATTTAAGACTTAAAAATAAATATATAAATTATTTATATACAATATTTATTTTTTTGTGACATATATTTTATGGAAAAAATTTGATATCTATAATAATAATATGATATAAAAAAAATTCATAGATATTAAACACTTTTGTTGACTAAACAGTATTTTATTTATATATTTATTTATTTTTTTGATAGGATTCAGAAAATAGGATTTTGTTATAAACGCAGAAAAAAATTATTTATTTAAATATAATATAAATGCAATGAATTGCGTGTATAAATAAAACATATATTTATAATAATATGAAAAAATAACTATAAAAGCCAACTGTTTTGACAAATATTAGTAACGATATAAAAAAACTTAATATTTAAGTCTACTATATATTTACTACTAATATTATTAGACTATGAAAATGCAGAAAAAATCTTAATTTACTATTTCATTCATTCATTCACTTACCCACTCACTCACCCACTCACTCACCCACTCACTCACCCACTCACTCGCTTTAATATATATATATATATATAAACTCAACTCAAACTAACTGTATTACAAATATTATTATATTTTTCATACAATATTTGATAAGACATGAAATATTTACATCAAACAACACACAAGAATCACAACAAATAGACACAAAAAATTATATATATATATATATATATATATATAACGGTATATAATATAATGTATACAATTTACTGTAAATATATATATATACAGGTATTTACTATATATATATACCGATAGACAGTATAAACACATACATACATACATAGTGTATATTTAAGTATACTTTATTTTTTTTTGCTACAAACTAAATATAAATAAATAATAACTTAACAACAATAATGCAATGGCAATGGTTTAGTATCAGGAAATAGATTTTTGTCAATTGAAACGACACAAATAAAATCAATATTATTATGTCTACGAAATATATATATATAAATAAATATATATACAGTTTATAAGCAAATAATAAAAAAAAGAGAAAATAAACCAAAATTGAAAAATTTTCTATACAATTGTGTAATCTCTCTCTCTCTCTCTCTCTCTCTCTCTCTCTCTCTCTCTCTCTCTCTCTCTCTCTAAACACTATATATATATATATATATATATATACCGGTATATTTATATACAGAATTTGACCAAAGAATCAAACAAATATATTAAATAAAGTTTTTTTCAACAACAAAAAAATAACAATTTTTTGCTATAAATGTAAAATGTATTTCTAGAAGCAGTTTTTATTTTTACTATAAATTTCAAGTAAACTAACAATATTTTACATACAAGTAGTTTACTAATATTAAAACAAACAAAAAAATAAAGTCACATATTATCAACAAAAAACAAAACAAATAATATTAGATAAAAAAATTTGTTTACTATAAAAATATTACATCATTTATATATTTTTTTAGTTGATTTAATAAATTATTTTAAATATTTTTTTAGATGTTTTTGATCTGAAATTATAGTTTTAGTTTTTTAACTGAAATTTTTGATTTTAAATATTATTTTTTTTTAAAAAATACTTGTCATGATATAAATTTTATTTAAATTGTGACAGATATATACAATATAAAATTTCTTTATATGTATAATAAACTAGCATAAAAATAAATAATTCAAATTAACTGAAATTTATTTTTTTTTATATAAAAATTATAATATTAAGATTCATTTATAAAAATTTTCAACAAAAAAATAATACATTAAAAAATATGACAACTATTATTACTATTATTTGTTAATAAAACTAATTTTATACTAAATTATATATATATATATATATATTTGAAAAGTTATTATATATTTTCTGAAAAAATTTAAATATAATTAGATATTTATTAAGCTTTTAAAAATTTTAAGTGCTAAGTAGTTATTTAGTTTTCACAAAAATTAAATAAATAAATTACTAACTAAATGTATTAAAAACTTTTGAATTTAGTTTTGAGTGCATATACTATATATATACTCTACACTTGATATTTAGTGACTTTATATTATATACAGTACAGAATATATTTACATTAAATGCTATTTTGTAATTAATTTTTAGTCTTTTAATCTCTTTATACCAAAAATGTGTGTTTTTTTCTTTTGTTTTGTTTTGTGTTTCACTAATTCTTAATAGGATTTAATTGTGAATAACATTAATGTATTATTATATACAGTATATACTGTATATAGTTATATATAAAAATAATTTTTTGGTTTCTATTAGTTTTTGATATTATTATTATTATTATTATTGCGTTATTAAGCAAACTTTTGCTTTATCCATATATAGTATATTAATAATAATATTTTTTTTGTTGCCTCAAACATATGGAGTTTAATTATATACAGTATATAATAATCTAATATTTAATTAAATATCACTATTGGATAGCATTTAGAGAGAGAGAGAGAGAGAGAGAGAATTAAAAATTGATAATTTATTTTCTATAATCATTTAGATATTATATATATATATATTATGTATTATTACTGTGTATTACATTATATTTATGAATTTTATTTAAATAATTAAAGTTAGCATTCAATAAAACTACAGTACAATAGTGTATCAAATAAATAATAATAATAATAGTTATAATGATAGTAACAATAATACAATATTTCCCAATTCCCAAAATCATTGCATGTTTAGCCAATGTATTTGTGCTTTTAATTATATTATAGTTGTTTAAATGTATTATATATTTTGTGTTTCATTATTATTATTATTACAAAACTTGTAGTGAAATTAATTTTTAATTATATTACATGAATTATACAATATTTCTATAATATTTTTTTAGTTGTTGGAAATAGCAGTAAAAAAATGTTTTATTTAATTATTTATTATTATTATTATTATTATTATTATCGTTAAACAATAGTCTCAACAAATAAATATTTAAAAGCAGTTTAAATAATACAGTAGTTTATTTATTTTTTGTTTGTTTGTTATTTTTTATTTTCATTTAATAGAATTATTATGATAATAGGCTATATAGATAGATAATAATAATAATAATAATAATAAAACAAACTATAAATGCTAAAATAAAATGCTTAATAGTAGTATTGGACACTTATTATTTTCACAAATAACAATCAGATAATTTAATGGATAAAATTGAAGAGAAAGAGAGAGAGAGAGAGAGAGAGAGAGAGAGAGAGAGATCTAACTAAAATATAACAACAAAAGCAAAATAAATAAAATAAAAAGATTCTTCAAACAGCTAACTGTCCTCAAAGTAAGTGCCTCTACACACAACAATCTCAACATTAAATTACTCTCTTTTTTCTCTCTCTCACTCTCTTTCTCTCTTTTTCTCTCTCTCTTACTCTCTCTCTTTCTCTCTCTTTCTCTCTCTTTCTCTCTCTTTCTCTCTCTTTCTCTCTCTTTCTCTCTCTTTCTCTCTCTCTCTCTCTTTCTCTCTCTTTCTCTCTCTTTCTCTCTCTTTCTCTCTCTTTCTCTCTCTTTCTCTCTCTTTCTCTGTCTCTGTGTGTTTGTGTGAAAGACAGACAGATAGACAGACAGACAGTCAGAGAGAGAGAGAGACAGACAATGTAAGAAAAGAGATGATAAAATAAGACGAGTTCCTCATTATAGATGATTAGTCCGTTTCTGTTGCATTTTGGTTTGACTACTATTACTACTACTACTACAGTCTAATACTAAAGTAGTAGTAGTACTACTAGTAATGAAACATTCAATACCCCCCACCCGTCCCCAAAAACCTAACCAACTAACTGAGCCGACAAACTAACTCCAAATCCAATAGTTTTATATATTGTAGTTATTTTTATAGATAGTAGTCGTTGTTGTTGTTGTTGTTGTGTTTGAAGTAATCAATACTTTGAGTATTGCTTTACACTTACTTTTCAAATGAAATAAATAGTATATATATATACTGTATATACAATGTATAAATAAATGCCTAATATATA